CATTTCGCCTGGACTCCCTTGCCCTTTTGTATTTCATCTGTTACCTGCATTATGCAAATGGCATGTGAGAATCATGGAAGTTGCAAACCATCTTCTCATAAACCTAGACCAATTTCAGATGCTAAAGCCTCCAATCAGTGCCAGTCACATTAAAGTTTTATACGGCTGTTTCAAACCAAGAAAAAAACCCTGTACATTGAATATTACCTCCACCCTCCAACCAAATTTCCCAAATAAATTGCTTTTTAATACTCGTAAATCTGCATGCCCTACATTCTGAATTCATTATGGGTTGCCATGCTAAGGTGGATGAAGTATTACACATGGTTCCTAGAAATGGGCCAGGGATTAACTCCTTTACCCATTGCACCCAAAAATAGATTAACGACTGACATTTATATTCCATAGAGAAGAATCCAAGAGCATTTTTACAAAGTAAGGCCACCATACTGCCGACACGTTCTCACATGTGGTGTAATTTTGCACACAAGTAGTCCCATTTGAAGTCAATGGGGCTACTGACATAAATAAATTATCAACAGGCATAAGTTTCTGCAGGATCAAATTATTATTTATTTGTATCATGTTATTGCCTATATGCCCCAATCAGGATAACAGCTCCATTTTGTTCCATCACTAAAATGCAGCCACCTCTGGGGTGAAATGCAGCAACTATTTAATGTATGCAGCAACATCACATTAAAGTTTCGGATAGGTAATGAAGAACACTATCACAACTGAATGGAGAATTTAAGCAGAGATACCAACTGGAATGTTCCAGTGTGACTAGTGATTTGGGGTGCCTCAAATTCTATGGGCCCAGCTTAGTACACCTTAAAGATGAGAGATATCAAAATTGGGGCCTCCATGTTTAACACAACCCAAAAACTCTTTCAAAAAGTTTTACATTTCATCTGAGAGACAACACCCAACCTCCTCTACGGCACAGATTCTATGAAGCTTTGGAGGGAAGAATGGCATCTACTGAATCAATAGTGCCATTTCCTGCAGCATCTACTTTGATATTCAAGTATTAACCAGTTCCAATATGGATTACTTTCTAAGAACTGATGAAATTACAGTCCCCAAAAGGTACAGCTATAGGGCAATAGGGAGGAAGGAAGAAAAGAAAAAGATCTATGGGCAGAATTCTCTTTATACAAACTATTTTTTCAAAGTTTTCCCATGAGGAGTCAGTGACTTTTGAAAAGCTAAGATATTTTACAACCCTAATCTTCTAGTTACAGGGCAAAACAAATATCAAGCAGAGCAGTTCTTAATGGTACCATGTGTCCTGATTTAATTTCCCAGTTGAAATACAAGATGTTGCTTTTTTACAGAGAGGCACATGGTAATTTTGCAGCATGCTGCCTTCTCTACTCCTTCAAATGTGTAAAGCTTGTTCTCTCAATGGATTAACCCCACAACAAAAAAAACAAATAAAAAAACTAGGCAGTACTGATGTAACTCAGCCTAGCAAGGCTGTCTCATAATAAAGCTCAGTGAATATCATTAGACTCTAAATAAAATCAAGTCTCCTGATTGGAAAAGGGTGGGACATGGGTGAGGGGTTTTAGTCACTGGTTTTAGAGTTACTTTCTTTATTGCTTCCAAAACTACTATATAACTAACTGGAATTTAGCACATGTCGACACAGCAATCAGAGATGTGATGACACCTCAGGTAAGCATCCCCCCGCCCTACAGTAATCTAGTTAGCATGGCTAAAAATAGCAGAGAAGATGTAGTGGCACAGACTGCACAAGCCAGCCCAGAATCCTAGATACATACTCACTCTGTGAATTCACTTCTATTTTTAGCCATGCTAGCTACACTGAAGCTAGGGTGGGGATGCTTACCTGAGATGTGATCCCAATGTAGATGTACCCTTAGCTAGCAGCTTTCTTTCAGATTCCAAAACACTCAATACACATTATAAATCCAGGAATCACCTCACCCTTCAATGAAAAGCCACCACTTTAAGAGCAGAAGGAAGTAGTCTTTAAACAGCACCACAGCATCACACATCACTATTGTTTTTTAACCTTATCGAGTTCAGACTCCAGGGGGAGATTAAGGCTACATATACAGAATGCAATTATTCTTGCTGGAATTTGGCCAGGACACCAGGGTTAACACACCTACTCTTGGTCCCGTGGCACCTTTAAGACTAACAGAAGTATTGGGAGCATAAGCTTTCGTGGGTAAGAACCTCACTTCTTCAGATGCAAGTCTTGCTTATGCTCCCAATACTTCTGTTAGTCTTAAAGGTGCCACAGGACCCTCTGTTGCTTTTTACAGACTCAGACTAACACGGCTACCCCTCTGATACTTGACACCTACTCTTGTAAAAACTGTCATGGGATTTTTTTCATGACAAGTGGTCAGGATCTCAATTTTACCTCTTCTTCAGTAGTAATGTGTCCAACAACACCATATTGAACACTGGTTCAGTACTGAATCAGCGGGAAGAGTGACACCTTCTTATCACCAAGACCACATTCTGTCTTACAGGTCTCCCATCTAAGGGCAGATTGTAGCCAGTTCTGCTCTCTCTGATGAAATCACAATCCAAAATAGATTGGCAACAGATTGGATCTGCTCAGTTCACTAAATCTAAGGCTGCGAGTTCAGGTATAGCAATCATTGGGCCCTGCTACAGTCTCCAAATATGTGAACTATAGAATCCAAATAATACATGCATATATGATGCTAAAGACACCAGAAGCTCTATGTTCTGTGGAGTTTTGACTAGTAATGAGAAAGTCCTGAAACCATTCTAACTAGGGACACGTGAACATATTCACAATAAGTGAAACTGGCAAACTGTTCCTTTTTTACCAGCATCAAACTTTCTGACATCCATCCCAACATTTTCACTGCAGCAAGAAGCACTGTTGGATATCGAAACTACTTTCTCTTAGAAAACAAACCCCATTTGATCTCACAGAGAAGGTCCAAGTTAAAGATGACAGCCCTATGTGGCAGGAAAAAAAAATTCTGATGTCTTTTCCTCCTGAACAATCTTTTTCTTCCTAGACAGAAGCCTTTGATGAATGCAGCAAAAATTCTGTCAGACTTCAGCGGGGTGAGATTTCACCCTGTGAAGAGAGATTACTTTTTTTTCTTTTTTGTCCACCTGCTGAGAGAAGATCATCACAGAAGGAACTAGAATAGGGAAAGGAAATCAGCTCGTAGGAATATTGTATTGGAAAGCAGAGTTTTCTCAATAGAGAGAGCTTTTCTGTGGATCCCTGAGGGGAAAAGCCCCCTTCCCCATACTCTGCTCTCAGTTGCCTTAGCACAGGATTGGGATGAAAGACGATAGTGGTATGTAGTGCCACTTCACAGACACTTCTGCAAATATCAGTAAGCCTAGAAGAACTGTTGTGAAATGTTTAAGGACAGCCTTGGGACTAATTGCAGTCAACATCATTTATCTCAAAGAGTCATGCATCATCGGCCACATAGCTTGATTTATCTCATGGCAGCGCAACACATAGGGCCAGTTCGTAGCTGGTGTAACTTGGAGTTGCATCAGGGTGAATTTGCTCCAGGATCCTGGCAGCAGCATGTCACTTCTTTAAGTCATAGATAAAAACAGATTAGATAAAGCTATTTTTCACATGGTCACACTAAGCCAATGATATTTAACAGACAGAGAACATATGACACATGGAAAAATATGAATCGATCCTAATTACTTTACTGGTTGCCACAATATCAGACTTTTCCTGAACAAATCCCGTCATTGAAACATCCCTCTCCTCAATTAAAAGACCTTCTTGAGAAGGCTATGATATTATAAGGGGAACTAGTAGCAACCCATATACTTAGGTGGCCCATGCTTTCCATTAGGAAGGATTCTTGCAACCTTTTCTTTGAGAAGTTCTTACACCTGCATTGTTTAGAGCAAACCTTTGACTTTCAGCAGGGCAAATGTCCTTAGGTTACAGATCTGTCTTTACTTCATCCCAGGAAACTCTGTTTATCTTTTACTAAATTTGTAAGTTCAGACTTATGTCTCTGCCAAAGCAGCAGCAGCAGACACTGTACTGGGAATAGTACTGGAAAAACATTTCTTCTGAATTTGTTTCCCAAGCAAAAAAAGGCAGATTTGGCAATACTGAAACAGTTTGCAAATTCACGTCATTTTTGCTTAATTGTTTCAGCCCATCTGCTTCCCCCCTCCCCCACAAAATAATCCAAAAAATCAAATCCTTTGGATATTTTGAATGAAAACATCTTTTTGTTTTGAACTTCCCATCATTGAATTTTGAAATTCCCATCATGATGTGAGGATGGACTAAATGCAATCAGACCTCCCTGCCCTGTTTATGGTAGATGAATCTTAACAATGTCAACACAAACAAACCTCTTAAAAGAGGGGTTACTAAAAGGTGGTCCATGCTACAAAAACTTTGAGATGTTCCAACTCGGTGGGAGATTGTCACAGTGACCACCTGGCTTCCCAGTCACAACTGCACAGAGCACCTCACCTCCCATTCATGATCAAACAACATCCATGTGACAGCTACAGCAAAAGAGCCAACACCACATGGACTGCCAGCGAGTACTTTTTAGGTCACAGACCACAGTCTGGATCACAGTATGTATATACACACATAAAAAGGTGAGAAATTTCCATCAAATATATTTAGGCAGGTTTTCAGGGTTGGCTTATACACAGCTCAGGTCCTGGAAATGGCTCATCTCTTCTGCCCATCCTAGAAAGGAGCTTCCCTGGCCCACCTGCTCAGGGAAGGAGTACCCCAGATGAGCCTGGGGGTGCCCCTTTCCAGCCTTTTTATGGGCTGGGCTACCCAGGTAGACTCTATAGCTGCTCTCTTCCTTCTACCCAAGACTTCAGAGCCTTTGCTCCTAGTCCTCCCCACAACCCAATCAGGTCTTTTTTAATGTAGTTCAACTCTGCACAGAATTATCTTTGGAGTGACACACACACAAAGAAGAAAAACTGAAACTGAATAAGGTGCTACTTACTGGTTAACACAGTGATCGACCTCACTGGTTTGGAAACCATGTTGGAATTCACCACCATCAGAGTCACTATGTAATAAAGGCCATGATAACTGGCATTAAAAACCACAGGGGAAGGTAAAGTGCTGTTGAATTCTTCAAACTGGAAAAAGTAGTTCTTGGATTCACCAGTTATCTTCACAACGTACACAAAGGACGAGCTCACTACATCAGACTCCTCCAACGACACTACAATGCAGTTGTCATCTCGGACAGTAACTTGGAAAGATGCTGCATTCTACAAGACAATAAAAGAAGAGATGCTAAAGGAAAATCCAGGGTATCATCAGCAATTTCACTTTTATCTACACGATTAGGTATTTACACCACACTCATTCCTGTGGCATTTCTGTGCCTGACCCCAGTGGGATGATAAATAAGAATTTCATTCCACAAGAGGGTTAGTTTGCAAAATTCTTGCAATCTTTTTAGGACCTGACCCAAAGCCCAAAGTTAATGCTACATGATTATTAGGCAAATCCATCTGCCAATGCAAGATTGTTCCCTACAGTATATTTTCCAATGCTATGACTAGTCCAGCTTTCAATGTCTCGAAAACTCTGCTGTTTCCCTGGGAAGACTATTTCTGATATGCAGCCTGAATTGCCCTTTTCACCTCACGGGTTGCTGGTTGTTGGTGGGTTTTTTTGTTTGTTGTTTCTTTTAGTAGGTGCAGGGATGAAAGGGGGATACCAGGTGAAGAAGGATTTTAGAAAAAGCTGCAAACAATACCACTGAGGACAGTAGAGTCAATGGAAATGTCTTTATTATCCAGAAGCAGGGCACTGTAGGCAGGGCCAATGGGGGAGGAGGGGGAAGCTGGTACAAATTACCGGGGCCCAGCGGTCCGGAAGGGGGCCCAGGGCCCGACTCCCCCCCGTCAGCCCTTTTTAGCCAGTCCGCCCTTGCTGGGGGGACCGAAATTTTTTTTTTTTCACCAGGGCCCGAACCCGCTCTCGGTGGCCCTGACTATAGGCTTGATCTTGGGAAATGACAAGAATCTGCAGCTGAGGGCAGATTTCTGTGATATAAGAACTGACCAAGCACTCTCAGAAAGTCATGTCTAAGCATTCACTGGGTGCTTAGCACCTCTCAGTATCAGGCCTTATCTTTGCATCTCAAAAGCTTTCACTAGTGTCTGGGACATGAGGGAATAGGAACTCTTGCCAGTCACTGCTTTTTCATTTCCTGTTAAGTCATTTCATTTTAAATGTTTCTTTCATATGCAGTTAAGAAAAAATTGAGAGATTTAACCTTGTTTTCCTATATCATGAGCATGTAAAGTCACTGCCAGCTGAAAAACCTTTTCCTTTTACTAATTGCAAGCCAGCTGTCAGCAAGAAGCACTTGTTCTCTACAGGAATTGCGAAACATAACTGCTGTAATTAATTAGAAGAAAAGATTAATCTTTACAGCAGTGGTTCCTTCTCTTTTTTCTTCCTCCTCCCTTCCCCTCCACCCCTTTTACAGATGCAGTATTGCCAACCCCAGGCATTCAAAAATCAGGAGTCAGGCCCCCCAAAATCATAAGATTGGCTTAAGAATCATGAGATTTTCAAAAATAATAAACATTTTTATTAATAATAATTATTATCATTAATTTGCCTTCTGGGTTTTGGCTCACATTTTCAAGCTTTTCTCCACAATCGTGAGGGGCTAGAAACTTTTATTTTTCTAAAAATTAAAGCTGAGGTTATTGCAAAATGAAATTATTCCAGGAGCTGGGGTTTGAAGAAGAAAACCAAATATCTGAAAACTGGTGATAAATTTGTAAGAGTTGGCAACATTGTATATAGTAGAGAACGGAGGTTGAAACCATCAACATTAAGTACTACAGAAAGTGGATGTCCTACAAAATGGCAAACTGGGTTTCAGATCCTGAGTACAGTTGCAGGCCCTGAGTCTGTAGAGAGGCTGAAACTATAGCTCAGAGAGGTGTGAACTACCCTGTACAGTGGGATGTTAACTTCTAGACCTTCTATTCTGGGGAACCCCTCCACTACCACCTCTCAAAGAGGGAATTGTGTAAGAAAAGTGAAATGGGCTAGCTCACCCACATACCCAAGGTTACTGGGGTAAATACTGTGGGAGTGCCCCTGCCTCTTAAGAAGTCTGTGTTGCCCCTGCTGCTCTCAAAAGAAGTGGTGCTTCTACTGCTGCTGCAGAAGGAGGGAAAGGCTCAAGTTGCTGCCCCTGTATCTATGGGAAGGGAGGAGCCCATCAGCTACTGCCACTCCAACTAGGGGAGGGGTCACAATGTAGGATCAGTGCTGTGAGGGTGAAATCACAAACTGGCCCCTATGTCAAGGTGAACCTAGAGCCACAGATTGCCTTGATCTGTCTCCATACAGATAGGGATGGGCCAGGAGACTTGTTCCTAAAAAAGCTGAGAGACTTTAGAGCTGGACACAAACTGCAGCATTGGTCTTTCTCTATAATGGACCTAATCTGGACCCAAACCTGGGATAAACATCAATTCCAGATTTTGATTTGATCTTTGCACTTTGGTTCCAATCTCTAATCCTAAAATCCTTTTAAGTGATTTTAGGACTTTAAAATGATACACACAACATATTATTAGGAATTAATATTTTATGGCAAAAGTTTGTTACACTTTGCAGATGGCATAGTCATTGCCCCAAAGAGTTTACAGTCTGAGGTCCCAACCCTGCAAAGACTTGCACATGAAGACTTACAAATGCTTACCTGTTCTCCATTTGGATTGATATGCTTACCTTTTGAAGTCAATAGGGCTAACCATACATGTCTTTGCCTAAAACCCCAGTCCTGCAATCTGACTCACACAGGATCCAATTGCAGGATTAGGGATTACGTTTTAGATCTGGTCAAAAAAACCCACAAACAAACAAACAAAAAAACAAGGGGGGGGGGGGGATTTGGGATTTCATCCTCCCCCCACATCAACATTTGAAATTATTCCTACTACACTCCTCTAACCCAGCCCCATGGGACATCAAGGAAGTGTCCATAAAGTTGGTCTCCAGGAAACACGGATGTGCCTGTCGCTTCACAAAGAATCACAGAAAGAGTAACTTTATTCTAAGACTAAATAAAGAATTATGGTCCTGATTAATAGATTATATACCCACAAGGGACCACTGTGGTCTCATCTGAGCTCCTGTAATAACACAGGCCATAGGATTTCCCTTTATTTCTGTTTGAACTAGTGCATATCTTTTAGAAAAACATCCAATCTTGATTTTAAAATTGCTAGTGATGGAGAATCCAGCACAACCCTTGGACAGCTATTCTAATGGTTAATTACCCTCACTGTTAAAAATTTGCATTTATTTCCCTTCTGAATTTATCTAGCTTCAACCTCCAGCCATTGGACTGTGTTAGATCTTTCTCTGCAAGACTGAAGAGCCCATCATTAAATATTCGTTCCCCATGTAGGTACTTATAGACTGATCAAGTTGCCAAGTCACTTAACCATGTATCTAACATGAAGCATGTGAGTAATCCCATTGAAGTCAATGGGGTTTGAAGTCAATAGAACTACTCATATACCTAATTTAGGCCCATGCTTCGGTAGATAAGGTAAACTCTGCTATCCCTAAAGATACTCTGGCTTCCTCACTTCTAACCAGAACCTATCCCAGCACCGTCCCCAATCCCCTGGCCTAACTTCTTGCTATACATTTAAAAGAAACAAACAAACAAACAAAAAGCCCTATTGAAAATCGGTATGTTTTAAGGCAGGCAATTACAGTTTAAACCATAGTTCCTCATCTTAATCGTAGTTTAGATTACTGGTGGTGCTAATAAAGCACAGCTGGAAATTAATGATATAATTGCAGAGTTGTATATAGACTCAGCATATAATTATATGCTTATAAGTGTCATTCATATTTGGTGCGATTTTATTCTTTGATATGTATATGGGTGTGGTACTAACTGCACCAAAGTACATTTTATTAAAATTTTTCCCATCACAAGGTATGCTGGACGTGATAGTAAATTCCACCCATCTGACAGCCAGGTGACCCCCCCTACATAACTCTCATACGATCATCATAACATAACTGTAGCACGTTATATAAAAATCCTCACAGTAAGTTGCTACTGTTACCAGTGGTAAGATTCAGATACAGACAATAATTAATTCCAAGTGAGCGATCACTAAAGCAAACAGCTGCCAGTGAGTTTGTAAAAGAGGTAATCACCCTGCCTCACACACCTGCGCCCATATGCTTTAAACTATACCCTGCATGATGCACATTTTTGAGTGACATCTGTTCTATACATTACAGGCATTGCATGGCCTTCTTCAACAATTTCTGACCTTTGGTTCTGACACTCAGGTTCTGATTTCAAAATGCAGGGACAGATGATAGATCAGAATACAGGACTCAAAAATTGATGTGAAAACTTAGGTCATTTTTCTCCCCTCTTGCATATGCAGTCTGAGTTTCTAATGTTTCTAAAAGAGTGGGCCAATGTGTGATGTTCTCTCTCTCTGTATGAGAAGGTGGTTACTGGCGGATATTGGTTTTGTGCTTTTGGGAGGAAGGGCGGGGACAAAACCAGCATTGTTTCTAAGCACCACTGTCAGTGATAAACATGCCCCACTTAACTAGAATGTAAAGCTGGTGTCTCTTAGGACTGACAGCATCAGTATGGTAAATACACATTTCATTACTTCTGGTCAGCTACCTTCAGGATTTAATTTGCTGGTGTCGCAGCTCGAGTGGCTGTTTTATGCCTGTGGGGAAATTTGGCAGGACTTGTGTATTCTGAACCAAATGATTAGCTCCAACTTCCTTCTGAGTTTATTATCACAAGCTTGTGCTGCACTAAAGGACTTCAAAAAAGGAGGAAGTGAATCCTGCACTGTAGTGTCTGCTTGCAGTCCCTTTCAGCACAGGGATAAGTCATGACAATGGAATTTCCAACCAACAACCAGTTCCCAATTTAAAAAAGCAAGAAAATATAATGACATCACACAAACGGCTATTCAAAGAGTAACGGGAAAATAAATGGCATGCAGCAGAGCTCATAGCTCTATATTCTAGAAGTCTATGTCCTCCTTTTAGATTCCTATAACAGTGGTCTCCAACCTTTTTACGCCTAATATCACTTTTTGAATCTAAGGCCAACCCAGGATCTACCATGCCCCTTCGCTGAGGCCCCGCCCCTTCCCCAAAGCCCCGCCCCACTCACTCCATTCCCCCCCCACCCCCCCGTAGCTCGCTCTCCCCCACCCTCACTCACTTT